CATTTCCATTGCTTATGGGCCTGAACAGAACAGGAAATTGAGTTTAACAAGCTGGGGATGTATTTATTTTGAGATTTTTAGCTTTCACAAAAAAACCCAGCCCTTTTTTGGGTTCATCTGGCCTTGGCTAATGCCCCACAAATGCAGCTGGGGACATGAAGCTGTTCCTTTAGTGGGCTGGTGGCACAAGAGGTGGAAAGGAGGGAACGTCCTTCCCCCAGGGACGCTCCAGCACCAGCTCTGGGGGATCACCAAGCGCTTCACGGGCTGAACTTTGGGGTTGGAGCTCCTTCCACGTCAGCTCTCCATGTCTCTGTGTCTGTGTGACAACCTGGTACTTGAAAATAAGAAACAAAAATAGAAATACTTGACCCTCTGCCTGTGCCTGCGGGGCCGGGTGGCCCCGGCTGTGTCGCGCACAAGCGGTTCCGCCGACCGCCCACCACAAGGCAGATGAATTCTTTTCCAGGCTCTTCTAGCAGCAAACCATCTATTTGGGTGGCTCTAGAGATGCCAAAACAGCAGTTCAAGGCCTGGAAAATGCAAGGGTTTTGTTGATTTGGGGTTTCTTTTTTTTTTTTTTTTCCTGTTAAATTCTGTGCTTCCTCTAACGTAGTTTGGGATGAAAGTGTTTTTCAACGATGGGCCAAAAAGAGGGGAAGGTGGAGAGGGAAGGCAGCTCCCTGCCGTGCTAATACTTGATCTGCCAAGCTTCACACAGGGTAAATATTCAGCAGTCTGCAGTGGGAATCGTAGGTGGGCCTGTCCTTTTTGAGGCACTGTAGTAACCTTACTCCTGAAGTGGACTTCACCAGCCTTTCCTCCAGGCACAGCCCTGAGGTGTGAAGAACAACCCAAGCCCGAGGGGTTGGACTCGTGAGTGTGCCAAACTGCTGGAGCAATACTTGTGAGCAGCAGCTTCTCTGAAAGCCCAGCTCGATGTAGCTCAAACAGGGCAAGTGCTGAAATCCATCTCTGATTTCCAGTGGTCCTGCTGGAAGGCAGGAAAATCGGGTTGCAAAGTGTAGGAATTGTGGTTTTCTGTCTGAACCTGGGGTTGTCAGCAGCAGTTGTTTCATGGTGGGATGGAATGTTCTTGCTAAAACAAGTTTCCACTGTTTCATGTCTTCTACACCAATATATATATGGTGTATATATTAAACTGTGTAAAATTGTACTTTGTACATAGAACTCTGTACAATATGGAGGTACAGCCTTTTTTTGGTTTGGTTTTCCCCCCCCTTTTTGGTACAGTCTTGTACAGTATTAGGAGTCGATGTGTTGGAAGTGTTAAATCCATACTGGGGCAACAAAATGTATCCATTGTCATTAGCAATAGTTTTGGAGAAATAAATGTTTTGGGTATGGTGGAAACACTGACCTGAGGGTGCTGGTGTGTGATGTCCTGGGGCTGAGTGGGACAGAGGCAGAGCGTGGCCTGGGGGCTCTGCAATGCTCAGGAATGTTGCTGGAGGTGCTGCTGAGTGGGTGAGGAAGGATCTGCAGGAGCCAGGAGCTCCTGGTGCCATCCTGGGCACGGGGACACTCCATGGCAGAGGGGCAGGAGCAGCGTGGTGGCACAGAGAGAACGGGGACAGAGCATGGGTGACAGGACAAGGGAATGGCCTGAAGCTGAAGGAGGCCAGGTTTAGATGGGATATTGGGAAGGAATTGTTCCCTGGGAGGGTGGGAGGCCCTGGCACAGGGTGCCCAGAGCAGCTGTGGCTGCCCCTGGATCCCTGGAAGTGCCAAGGCCAGGCTGGAGCACCCTGAGAGGGTGGAAGGTGTCCCTGCTGTGGAATGATAAGACTTGAAAGGTCTCTCCCAACCCAAACCATTCTTTCTGTGACTCCACTGATTCCTGATTCCAGCCCCGTGTTCCCCCACCCTGGGCTCGCACGCAGCCACCACAGCAGCATTCCCCGGGGCAAACACTTCCCTGGCAGTGACCTGATTTAAAAATGCTTAATCTTCATCATTTTCCTGTGGAGAACAGACCCCCAACTGGCTCAGGAAAGAGGATTTAAGATTGAGATTATGGATTGGATCATTATTTTATCATTACCAGCTTGCCCCCATCTTGGTTTTTCCACAGGCCTTTTTCAGAGCGTGGAGGGGGAACGTGGCAGGGCTGTTCATTTTCGCTTCATTTTCTTAAGATTTGAAGGAATGACTTACTTTCAGTGAGGTTTGGTGTTTAACTGAGGCATTTTTCCTCCCTGTCCCTGGGGTGAGCATCCCTGTGCTCCCTGTCCCACATCTCAGGAAATCCAGGATGTTTTTATTCCAAAATCACAGCAGCCCAGAGCCAGCTGGGCACGCTGCTGGTGGCTTTTTGTTTTTAAAACATGAAATAGGAGTCAAACAGCAATGGGACGGCACAGATAACAAGGATTTCTGATTTTCCCTTGGTCACTGTCCAGCAGAAGAAGCTGTGATCATCTCTTAAACCCTCATCAAACCACAGGTGGGACCAACCCTCCCTCACAAACCCCATGGTTTTTAACAAAGAAATGGGTTTTGGTGGTTTTTAGCAAAGAAACACCTCGGTGAGTGCTGGGAGGGTTCAGCTCTCAGGGACATGTCACAGGTTTGTCACAGTGACACCGAGGGGACAGCCCTGGGCTCGTGGGACTCTCGGGTTTGCTGACCCCAAGGACGAGTCCCTGCTGCACACAGAGCTCGCTGCTTGTCCTTTATTCTTCGGGCTTTGCTGCCACCAGCTGGAACAATTAATTCTTGTCACAAATTGCTTTCAAGGCCGGGTGTTTTTCCCTTCCAGCCTGTGCCAGATGCGCTCTCCCACCACACCAGGGTTTGTCCCCCGTGGGCACATCCAGTCCTAGGGTTCAGATGGGGTTGGGGTGGAAATCCTGCTGATGGAGCAACCAGGGAGAGGAAATGAGCTGGGACTTCTGAAAGGATAGCAGAAGAAAGCATAAGGAAGAAGCCAGGCAGGTGTTGGGGGTGAGTTCCCTGCACTCCCAGCCACAGGCTTGGCCAGCAGTGTGGGGACAGACTGATGCTCCTGTTTCACATGCATAGAAAATAAAACCAGACACAATTTCAAGAAGTCACCCAGCCCTTTCTCTTCCTGTCAGCTGAGCTGCAGCAAAACGACTTCAATCAAAGTGATTTCAGCTTTTGTGTGGTTAAACTGAGACTGCCACCCCTTCCCAGCCCTGGCATCCCTGGATAACCTCGAGGAAAGGGCCAGGCTGTGCCCTCTGCCAGCTCTCTGGAGGCTGCTCCAGGCACTCACCCCTGGATGGGAAAACGAAGCTCAGCAGGAATTAAGGAACTAATTAGGGGTGGGGTTTGTGTGCAGGCTGGTGAAGCAGTGTCGAGGTTTGGATGTCCCACAGGCTGATGAACTCTCAGACCTTTGGAGGCTTTATTGGTGAGGATGGAGCCTTTAGAGACATCCACACCAGCCTGGAGTAATTCCTGACAGTGGGACCCTGCTGCTGAGCTGGTCACAATGAAAACAGAGTGAGCAGGGACAGGAGCAGCCCTGCTCTGCCCTGTGCAGGAAGCAGAGTGCCCTGAATCCCACATCCTGCCCTGCATCCCACCTTGAACCCCACATCCTGCATCCCACCCTGGCCCACATTACATATTCCACCCTGTATTCTGCATCCCACCCTGTCCTACATCCCATCCTGCATCCCACATCCTGCATCCCACCCTGCCCTGCATCCCACATCCTGCTCTGCACCCTGTATGTCACCTGCATCCCACATCCCACCCTGTCCTACATCCCACCCTGCATCCCACATCCTGCACCCCACCCTGGCCCACATTTGATATTCCATTCTGCATCCTGCATCCCACATCCTGCTCTGCACCCTGTATGTCACCTGCATCCCACATCCCACATCCCTCCCTGTCCCACAAGCTGCCCGACAGCGAGCCCCAACACAGTGCCAGCCTTGCCAGGCGATGCTGTGTCCATGCCAGGCCTCGAGCACTGACCCCGTGCTGGCACAGATAACCAGGGCTGGACACCGACCCTGGGCACGGATCCTGATCCGGCTCTGCTTCCCAAATCCCCGGCAGTGCCGGTGGCAGCCGGAGCTCAGCACCTTCAGCCACCAGCGGAGCTGTCCCGGAGCAGCCTGGCGTGCCGGGGGATGGCAGCTCGGTGTGCCCGGGGATGGCAGCTCGGGTCCCGGGGGATGGCCGGTGTGCCCGGGGATGGCTGCCCGGGTCCCGGGGGATGGCAACACGGTGTGCCCAGGGCATGGCAGCCCGGTGTGCCCAGGGATGTCAGCCCGGTGTTCCCGGGGATGCTGCCCGGTGTGCCCAGGGCATGGCAGCCCGGTGTGCTCAGGGATGTCAGCCCGGTGTTCCCGGGGATGCTGCCCGGTGTGCCCAGGGCATGGCAGCCCGGTGTGCTCAGGGATGTCAGCCCGGTGTTCCCGGGGATGCTGCCCGGTGTGCCCAGGGATGGCAGCTCGGGTCCCGGGGGATGGCAGCCCGGGTTCCGGGAGACAGCAGCCCGGTGTGCCGGGGGATGACTGCTCGGGTTCTCCGGGGCATGGCTGCCCAGCTGCTCAAGGGATGGCAGCCCGGTATGCCGGGGGATGCCCGATGTGCCCAGGGATGGCTGCCCGGGTCCCGGGATATATCAGCCCGGTGTGCCGGGGTATTGCTGCAGGCGTTCCCGGGATATGTCAGCCCGGTGTGCCCAGGGATGGCTGCCCAGGTCCCGGGCATGGCTGCCCGGTGTGCCCGGGAATTGCTACCCGGCGTTCCCGGGGGATGTCAGCCCGGTGTGCCCAGGGATGGCTGCCCGGGTCCCGGGATATATCAGCCCGGTGTGCCCGGGAATTGCTACCCGGCGTTCCCAGGGGATGTCAGCCCGGCGTGCCGGGGAATGTCAGCCCGGTGTTCCCGGGCATGGCAGCCCGGCGTGCCGGGAGATGGCAGCCCGGCTGGGAAGCTTTCTCTCGAGCAGGAAGCTGAGGCGTTTCCTCCCGCAGCGCCGCGCTCGCCGGGCGGGTTTTGCAATGCGCGGTTTCGGTTCCCGGCCCGGGAGGCGCCGCCGGCCCCGCTCCGCTCCCGAGCTCCGCACCCGCCGGGCTGCTGCCGCCAGCCCCGGGCTGCTGGGGCTCGCTCCATGCTCGGCCTCGGCCCCGGGGCCGCCCAGGGGAGCGACTGCCGGAGGGGTGAAGGCTGGGGCTCGGCGGGGTGAACCTCACCCGGCCGGGGGGAGCCCCGCGCTCTGCTGGACATGCAGAGCACCCCCAACTACCTGTGGAGCACCGAGGACCTGCTGGGCCAGGGGGCCACGGCCTCTGTCTACAGAGCTCGCAACAAGGTGAGCGGGGCAGCCGGGGGGGAGCCCCGAGTGCAGAGCCCCGCTGCCCCCGCGGGATGCCCGGGCTCCGCTGCCCTGCCGGGACATCCTTGCCTGGGGAGCAGCTCAGGTTCTGCTTTCCGTTTTATTTTCACTTTCCTCGGGGCTCCTTCCCCTCTCTGCGGGTCGAGGGCGGTTTTTGGGGCGCTCACGGTCGGTTTTTGGGGCGCTCACGGTCGGTTTTTGGGGCGCTCACGGTCGGTTTTTGGGGCGCTCGCAGTCGGTTTTTGGGGCGCTCACGGTCGGTTTTTGGGGCGCTCACGGTCGGTTTTTGGGGCGCTCCTAGTCGGTTTTTGGGGCGCTCGCAGTGCGCTCTGCTGGCCGCGGCGCAGGGGGAAGGAGCTGCTCTTTCCAGGGGAATGCCCAGAGGATTTGGAAACCCCATCCCTGGCCATTTGCATACTTCGTGCAAACACTTGCCGGGCTCGGAGCGGGCTCTCCTCCTTTGAAGTTTATTGAGCAAACGCAGCAGGGCTGGGAGCATGGCCGTGCCTCGGGCAGCTGCCAGCCTGGGCTGCAGACGGGAGCTTTTTGTGGGGCCGGATAAACACAGCCCCACACACAGCACGTGGGTGCCGGGACAGGAAGGGCAGCGGGGTGAATAACAGCGGTTTGTTTGTGCGGCCGAGCAGGCGCCGTGCACAGGCATCATTTCATCATCTGCATCCCGAGTGGGGTGTGGGAGCCGGGACAGAGCTCCTGGAGCTGCTCTGCACGTGGGTGGCATCACCCGGTGTTTTCATTCCCTAATTTTTGGTCTTTTCCCAGAAATCGGGGGAGCTGGTTGCTGTGAAGGTGTTTAACAGTGCCAGCTACCTGCGGCCCCAGGAGGTGCAGATGAGAGAGTTCGAGATGCTGAGGAAGCTGAACCACAAAAACATCGTCAAATTATTTGCCGTGGAGGAGACAGTGAGTGGGAACCCCTCTGGGAAGCCCTGGGGCTCACCAGCCGAGGGAGGGCACCTGGTCCTGCCCGGCAGGGGGGACACGGGGCTGGCTGAGCCCTCCCCATCTCCCCTGCAGGGCAGCAGCAAGCAGAAGGTGCTGGTGATGGAATACTGCTCCAGTGGCAGCCTGCTGAACGTGCTGGAAGACCCAGCCAATGCCTTTGGCCTGGCTGAGTCCGAGTTCCTCATCGTGCTGCAGTGTGTGGGTGAGTGTGGGGGTCACCACCAGCAGGGCTGAGACCCTCCAGCTGGGGACCCCACGGTGCTGGGGGTCCCTGCAGGCTCCAGCCCTGGGGTTGAGCTCTGTGCTGAGGCATTCTCCTTGCCCTGGGAAGCTGCTGTGGCCAGGGGCTGTGCCCTGCCATGTCCTCATCCTCTCCATCCCCCCAGTCACCCTGATCGCCATCTAAGTGCAAGCACTGTGGGATTTACCCCCTCTCCAGCCCTCTTTTCAACCCAAATTCCAGTGCACTGGAAGGTGCACTTGCACTACCAAGACGTAGCTTAAAAAGCATTCAGCTTACACCTGAAAGATGTCTGCTAACATCAGATTGTCTTGATGCCAAACTCTAGCCCAATCAACGTGACCTGGAATAACAAAGCTACTTCCTACACTCAACTAAAGCATTTATAGTCCCAGCAGAGGCGATAGAAAAGACACCATTGGAGCAATACAGACTACATACCATGAGGGAAAGATGAAATAACAATGAATAACCCAAGCTATAAACCCCAAAGATCAACCCTTGTTGATCAACCTTTTGCAAAGGATCAACCTTTTGCATCATGGTCCAGCAAGAAAAACCAAGCAAAATGAATTTAAGTTTGCCATCCCGAAACCCAAGTGAGCTACTTACGAGCAGCTCTTACTGAGTGAACAAGAGGGGGGGATGACTTGTTAGCAGAGGTGACAAGCCAGTCAAGCTGGGTGACAGCAGTTTTCTGGCTTGAGTTTTTCAACTCAAACTGCTCCCCTGGAGCCCAGTGGCCCAGCCCCACACAGGAATTCTGCCTCTCCTTGTGCCAGTGGCAGGGATGAACCACCTCCGCGAGAACGGCGTCGTGCACAGGGACATCAAACCCGGCAACATCATGAGGCTGGTGGGAGAGGACGGGCAGAGCATCTACAAGCTGACGGATTTCGGAGCCGCCCGAGAGCTGGAGGATGATGAGAAGTTTGTGTCTGTCTATGGGACAGAGGAGTACCTCGTGAGTGGGGCATGTCCTGGGGGAGGCTGGGCCCTGTCCCTCAGTCCTGAGCTGAGGCACTTGGAGAGCCTGATCCTGTTTTTGGGAGGGGAGGGGCTCAGTGCCTTGTGGCAGGGTTGCTGGTGATGGTTTTTGGGAGGACCCAGAGCTCTGTTACAAGTGATGATTTTTGGCAGGACCCAGAGCTCTGTTAGAGGTTTTTGGAAGGACCCAGAGCTGTTTCAGGTGATGCTTTTATGGGAGGACCCAGAGTTCTGTTCAAGGTGATGGTTTTTGGGAAGGACACAGCTCTGTTCTATGTGATAATTTTTTTTGAAGGACCCACAGCTCTGTCAGAGGTGATTTTTTTTTTTTTTGGTGTGGGGGAGGACCCAGAGCTCTGTTACCGGTGATGATTTTGGGGAAGACCCAGAGCGGTGTTCCAGGTGCTGTTTTTTGGGCAGGACCCAGAGCTCTGTTAGAGGTGATGTTTTTTTTTGGGGAGGACCCAGAGCTGTGTTAGAGATTTTTGGGCAGGAACCAGAGCTGTTTTCCAGGTGATGTTTTCCAGTCAAGACCCAGAGCTCTCGTAGATGTTTTTGGGAGAACCCAGAGCTCAGTTCCAAGATGTTTTCTGGGGGGAGGACCCAGAGGTCTGTTACAGGTGATGATTTTTGGCAGGACCCAGAGCTGTGTTCGAAGTTTTGGGGAGGACCCAGAGGTGTTAGATGTTTTTGGGAGGACCCAGAGCTGTGTTCGAAGTTTTGGGGAGGACCCAGAGGGGTTAGATGTTTTTGGGAGGACCCAGAGCTGTGTTCGAAGTTTTGGGGAGGACCCAGAGGGGTTAGATGTTTTTGGGAGGACCCAGAGCTGTGTTCGAAGTTTTGGGGAGGACCCAGAGGGGTTAGATGTTTTTGGGAGGACCCAGAGCTGTGTTCGAAGTTTTGGGGAGGACCCAGAGGGGTTAGATGTTTTTGGGAGGACCCAGAGCTGTGTTCGAAGTTTTGGGGAGGACCCAGAGGGGTTAGATGTTTTTGGGAGGACCCAGAGCTGTGTTCGAAGTTTTGGGGAGGACCCAGAGGGGTTAGATGTTTTTGGGAGGACCCAGAGCTGTGTTCGAAGTTTTGGGGAGGACCCAGAGGGGTTAGATGTTTTTGGGAGGACCCAGAGCTGTGTTCGAAGTTTTGGGGAGGACCCAGAGGGGTTAGATGTTTTTGGGAGGACCCAGAGCTGTGTTCGAAGTTTTGGGGAGGACCCAGAGGGGTTAGATGTTTTTGGGAGGACCCAGAGCTGTGTTCGAAGTTTTGGGGAGGACCCAGAGGGGTTAGATGTTTTTGGGAGGACCCAGAGCTGTGTTCGAAGTTTTGGGGAGGACCCAGAGGGGTTAGATGTTTTTGGGAGGACCCAGAGCTGTGTTCCAGGGGACGTTTTCCAGGCATGCCCATTTCTCTCTCCCCCCAGCCCCCTGACGTGTACGAGCGAGCCGTGCTGCGCAAGCCGCAGCAGAAGGCCTTTGGTGTCACCGTGGACCTCTGGAGCATTGGTGTCACCTTCTACCACGCTGCCACGGGCAGCCTGCCCTTCGTGCCCTTCGGGGGACCCCGCAGGAACAAGGAGATCATGTGGGTGCCGTGCCCAGCTGGGGTGGGGAGCTGGGGCTGTGCTGGGGCTGGCTCACTCTGGTTTAACCCCACGTGGCCCCAAAGCCCTGCCAAGGGGCCTGTGGGGGGTGTGTGTGCAGTGTGGGGGAGAATCCATGTCCCAATTGCCACGTTTTCCCTCCAGATGGAATGCTTGGGTGGGGCACTGAGCATGGGTGGCATCCCTGCCCATAGCAGGGGGTTGGAACCAGCTGATCTTTAGGTTCCTTCCAACCCAGATAATTCTAGGATTCTGTAAAATGCATTTCCATGACCTCCTGGATAAACAGCTGGAAGGGGAGGCAGGGTTAATGCTCACTTGGAAGGTTTGGACTGTTCCTTGCAAGTATTTTCCCTCTGGGCACTTCCTTTTCCCTCAGTGAATCACGTTTTTCCCAGCACAGCCACCCAAGGGACACAGTGCCCAAACAGAGCTCGCTTGGCTCGAGCCAGCAGCAAACAATTCCCTTCCCACAGGTACAAAATCACCACGGAGAAGCCTCGTGGGGCCATTGCAGGGATCCAGAGGCAGGAGAACGGGAACATTGAGTGGAGCTACGAGCTGCCCATCACCTGCCGCCTCTCCACGTGAGTGTCCCTTGCTGGGGCTGCAGCTCCCCTGTCCTCAGACAGCACAGGAGGGGTTAACCAGGCAGATAAACTTTTCATCTTCAGGTGTCACAGCTCTCAGACCTGATCTTTGCTTTCCAGACAGGAAAAGGGGATGCAGGGCAGTGTTTGTGACTCAGGGTTACAGCAGCCCATGCAAAGCTCTCTTCTTCCCTGTGGCATTCATATTTTCTGGAAAAATCCCTTTGCCCAGGATTTTTCTCCTGGGAAGCTGAGACGCCTCAGAGAAAAAGGAAAACAATAATTATCTGATGTGCTTCTCCTGTGTTTTGCTCCTTTGGAATGTGGTTGGGGATGGTTCACCCACAGGTGATTATTTCATTGGTTTCATGTGAATTGTTTTTACTCCTTGGCCAGCTGGGGCCAAGCTGTGTTGGGACTCTGGAAAGAGTCACGAATTTTCATTATTATCTTTTTAGCTTTCTGTATTCTTTAGTATAGTTTAGTTTAGTATTTTTTAATATAATATAGATCATAAAATAATAAACGAGCCTTCTGAGAACACGGAGTCAGATTCACCATTCCTTCCTTTGTCTGGGAGCAGCCCCTATACAATACTTCCCTTGCTGCTGCAGGGGGCTGAAGGACCAGCTGATCCCCATCTTGGCGAACATCCTGGAGGTGGATCAGGAGAAGTGCTGGGGATTCGACCAGTTTTTCGCAGGAACCAACGACATTTTGCACAGGATCGTGGTGGACGTGTTCTCCCTGCAGCAGGCGTCCTCCCATCGCATCTACATCCACTCCTACAACACGTAAGGCTGGGTCAGAGATCCGTGTGGGAATGGAGCTGTGAATTCCCCTGCCTTCAGCAGGGGAGCCTGGGGGCACCACCATGCCCTTTGCACTGCCCCCAGCCCAGGTTAAAACACACCAGGCTCAAATCAGCCTTTGCTGGGAGTGAAATAATGGAGCTGTGGGCACACAGGGAGCCCTTGCTGACCTTGTCTGATATTTTGCTAAGAGAAAGCATCAACATCTTGGTATTTTAAGGGCAGCAGGCTGCTAAAGGGATGGAAATCTGTGTGCTTACCTCATTGCTTATCCCCACCCTTTCCCTTCTTTCTCCATTTCAGTACCACCAAGTTTTTAGATGCCGTCTTCAAACAGACAAATATAGTCCCTCACCATCAAGAATATTATTTTGAAGGACACCTGTATGAGCTGGATCCCAACCTACAAGCTCATCATTTCTGCAGAACCACAGAGAGCAGCCCCCTGACTTTGCTGAGCACCTCAGAGCAGCCCGAGGACGTGGTGGGGGTCCGGTACCGCGACCGTGAGTGTGGGTGGCTGGAGATGTGCCACGGCACGAGAGTGGCTGCTGGAAGAGGGATTTGTTCCAGTTATTATCCTGAGAGGTCTCCCATTTCCTGCATGATCCCAGCTCTTGGGGCCTGGGCACTGTTTGACCTGGATCCCAGTTCCCACTGGGGTTCCCAGTTCTCCAGACTGGTCGCTTTTCCCACTGCCAGCTTGTGCCAGTCCCCATTCCCAGCAGTGACCCCATTCCCAGCAGCAGGAGTACAGGTTCCCAATGCCAACTCGCAATCCTGATGCCAGTTCCCAGTGCCAACTCCCAACCCTGTTTCTGGTCCCTGGGGCAGGATTAGGGGATCTCAGGGTCAGTTTTCCCCTGCCATGTGCTGCTGCTCCATGGGCACACGCCACTCTGGGCTTTGCAGGGAATTCCTGCCTTCATCTATGCTCCCAAAATATCTTGTAGGGCTGCACTGAGCCTCCAACACTGAGGCTGAGATGCTGAGTGGCCACGGGGTTTATCTGGCGGGTGGCAGCTGCCCACAGCCACCAGCTGGTGACAAACACCCCGACCCTGCCTGTCTTTGCAGCGGCGCTGGAGTTCCCCAAGTTCGTGCCCAGGGTGGACGTGGTGGCCGACTGCAGTGCAGCCAAGGTGGGTGTGCGTGCCAGGGCAGCGTGCTGGCAGCGCCCTGTGCCTGGCACGGGCCCTGGCAGTGCCCTTTGCCTTGCAGAGTGCCGTGGGTGCTGCTCACCAGACGCTGCGCGTGGGGCAGGCGCTGCGGAGGGGCCGGGAGCTGCTGGCCAGGGGCCTCCACTGGGTGATGTGAGTGCCAGGGCCACGGCTGGGCAGGGCACAGCGGGCACACTGCCTGCCCAGCACCCTGGCATTTGTTGGGTTAAGGGTTTGCAGCCTCTCCCTGCTAGTGCAGACCGGTGGGATGGTGGGGTAGGGTCCTGGGGGACTCGGAGGGAGCAGGGCAGGAGGGGCACTGTGTCCCCATGGGTCTGCACCTGGAGGAAAAACAGTGCTGGGAGGATGCTGCTGTCCTCTTTTGTTCCTTTTGGGTCACTTTCTTCAGTTTAGGAGACGCTGAGGAAAAAAGCAGAGTATTTGTATTATTATTATTGTTATTATCACTGTGTGCATCTATTGGAAATGTTCCTGCCCAGGGCAGGGATTTGGAATTTCAGCTTTAAGGTCCCTTCCAACCCAAACCATTCCATGATGAATTTCACTGCCCTACCCACTCCTTTTGGGGCAGGACAGAGGGTGAGAGACCCTAAAAGCAGCAGCCACACCCAATTTTTGGTTCATCCAGCCCCCCCAGTCTCAGAGCAGCCTGAGAGAAGCCCCCAGCTCCATGCCCACCCCGGGATGGAGCTGTGCTTGCAGGGGCTCTTTTCTCTCTTGGCAGTGGGAACCTGAGGACAGAGTGCTGCAGGATTTTGGAGCAGAGGAGGGGGGCTCACTCCGTGCTCACCTGCCTGCAGCTCACCCAGGGGAAGACACACGTGCTGTAAGTGAGCTGGGCTGTGCCTGGTGAGATTTGGGGCTCTCAAAGGTGCCTGGATAAGCAGGAATAAGGAAAATGCCAGGAATAAGCTGATATTGTGGAGGTGGGAGGATTTTTCACTGTCTGGGAAACGAGCCACTCTGGCTGTTCCTCACTCCTTGCCTCAGTTTTTGATGATTTCACAGGAGGCCAGAGTCAGTCCTGACTGCCTCCTGCTCTGGGGTTTTCTGTTACAGCCCCTGAGCAGGAAGGAGCCAGGGCTGCTGCCAGCTCCAGGGAAAGGAAAACTGAGAAAATTGGGCTAAAATAAAGAGCAGGATGGCACCAGCTGCACGACCCCATGGGGGTCTGGCCCCTGTCACCAACCCTGGAGAGCTGGGCTGCATTCCCAGGGATCCAGCATCCCACCAGCCATGGGGAGAGATCCCATTTCCTTCCAAGGGTCTCCACTGAATTATGGAGAAACCCTGGGCTGCCCTCAGCCTTCCCTTTCCCCACACCCTCCTTCCCACCTTGCCCTGGGCCAAGCTGAACCCATTTTATCTCGAGCAACCCACGGATATTTTGCTTTTCTACTGCTTTTTTCTTGTTGTTCTTGTAGTGGAAAATTCTTTGCCGCTGGGTTGCTGTTCTTTCATTCTTTGCCATTTAGCAAAATCTCTTAATTTCCATTTCATCTGAAAAAAAAATAAAAATAGGGACACATGGTTCCCATTGAGTGCAGCCCTCAGGGCTGGAGTGCCAGGAGCAGCAGAGCTGCAGCTGGGTGCTCTGGCTCTCCCAGCCCTTCCAGCTCTGCATCAGGAATATTTCTGCTGACTTTGCCCCCGTGCCACGCTCAGCCTGGCGCTCCCGTGCCAGCTGCAGGCACACAGCCACCCTCCCAGCTGGCCTGAAGCCAGTGGGTGCAAAACCAACAATTTTGGAACAAATTGGAGGCAACAGGGCGAGTTTTTGCCAGATCAGCACTTTGTGGCTCTGTGAAAATCTGGGTTGCTGCCCGAGGAAAATCACTTTGCAGCCCCCCAGGACCCCAGCACGAGGTGGATTCCTGTGCCAGCTGTTTGCCAGCAGCAGTCTCCTTCAGGAATATTCATTTTCTGTCTCCCCCCAGGTTCGAGGCCGTTCCTGCAGGCAGCAGGGGCCCGGCTGGGGTGGATGTGGTGAAGGCAAGGCTGCAGAGGGTGAGGAGCATCCCCAGCCCCAGGAGCCCCCAGGGCTCTCAGGGCAGCTGCTCCCAACCTCTCCCCTCCTCTGCAGGTGGAAGAGGAGCTCTCCCAGTGCTCCCACAGCATCTTTGACTTCCAGGGGGCACTGGATGGGATTCTGGCCGAGCTGGTGAAGGACAGGCAGCAAGCGCACGAGGACAAAAGGTGTGTGGGGCAATCCCTGATGCCACCTGGCTCTCCCCACCCAGGGCATGGAGCAGTTCCCGTGCCAGGCACAGCCCCTGGTGCCACCCCTGCTGTCCCTGCTCACAGGCACGGGCAGCAGGTTCACATTCCACCATTCCCAGAGGGACAGCCTGACTCCAAAATGCTGATTTCAGCCCAGCCTCACCCCTTCCCCTGCCCCTTTGCAGCATCCAGCAGATGGAGTGCTGCCTGGAGAAGATGCAGGTGATCCACAAGCAGTTCAAGAAGGCCAGGACGAGTCTGAGTGAGTGCTGGGGACACTGGGCAGCAATGTCCCTGCGCTGTCCCCGTGGGAAAATGGGTGATTTGGGTTTGCTGCATCAGCAGTGACTTCGTGGAACCCACAGAAGGGTTTGGGCTGGAAGGGACCTTGCAGAGTTTCTGTTTCTGTGTCCTGACAGTGCCCCGGGGGCTGAGCCAGGAAAATCCCCCTCGGGATGTGAAACTGCCCATTTCTGGGGCTGTCAGCAGGAAATGTGTGGTGACTCTGTTTTTCCTCCCCAGGGCTGAGCTACAACGAGGAACAAATCCACAAGCTGGATAAGTGAGTCCCGCCCTGTCCCCTCCCCAGGAGCTGCCCCTCGCTGGTGCTTGCTGGCTCTGACTGGGTCCCAAAGGGTTAAAAATCGTCCCTGGTGCTGTCAGGGAGCAGCTGGAGGCTCGCGTGTGGTTCCTCCTTGCAGGAGCTCTCCCAGGGAAGGTTTCAAGCCATGAGCTCCTTCAGATGAGGCTGTGGGAGAGATAGCTGCTCTGGGGACAGGGACAGGGACAGGGGCAGGGAGAGGGAGCTGCTTTGGGGACAGGGACAGGGACAGGAGGTTCTTTGGGGACAGGAGCTGCTGTGGGGACAGGGACAGGGACAGGGACAGGGACAGGGGCAGGGAGAGGGAGCTGCTTTGGGGACAGGGACAGGGACAGGAGGTTCTTTGGGGACAGGAGCTGCTGTGGGGACAGGGACAGGGACAGGGACAGGGACAGGGACAGGGAGCAGCTCTGGGGACAGGAGATGCTCTGGGGACAGGGACAGGGAGCTGCTTTGGGACAGGGTCAGGAACAGGGAGCTGCTCTGGGGCCACCTCCCCTGCCGGAGGAGGGCACAAACCCGTTCCAGGCTGCTGCTCGCACAGGACTGGGTCTGGAGCCGTTTTGGCCCTGAGGTGCTGATTTAGGAAGTGTCCCTCCCTGCCTCCCTGTCTGCTGCAAGCGCTGATGGCTTTGGTGCCTTTGAGATTCCTCCTTTCAGTTTCCACCCAAAGCAGGGGAATTCAGCACAGGCAAGAAATGGAATTCACTTCAGCCTGCAGCAGGGAGGGTGAAATTCCACAGACTCACTGAATGCTCAGTCTCACCTTGGGCATTTGCCTTCAGCTCCAAGGCAGAGACTGTCAGCAGTGCCCTGAGGGGGGACAGGGACTGAATCCCCCAAAATATCCCTCTCCAGGGGGAATTTGTCTTCTCTGTAACTCATTTCTGAGCACCCAGGGCTTCCACGTGCTCTCTGCTGTGGATCAGGTGTGGAGCTGGAAATGGGGATTTTGGGAAATGCTCTCTGTATTTTCTATTTTTGCATCAAATGCTTGTTGCATCCCCCCAAAACCCCCTAAACCTGCATAACCAAAATGCTCTTTGTATTTTGTATTTTTGTATCCCCCAAACCTCCCTCCAGGGTTTGTTTTCCCTGTAACTCCTTTCTGAAACTCCAGCCCCTCTTCCTCCATCCAGGAGGCAGCTTCAGGCCTCCTGTGATGTTCCTTTTCACCCCCTGAAGGAAATAATGCTGTTTTCTCTCTTATTCCCGGGTTCAGGCTGAATTTGGGGAACCTGGCCAGGAAGGTTCTGTCCATTTTCCAGAACGACTGTGTCCAGCAGTACCAGGAGGCCCTGGCCCTGCACAGCAGCAGGATGAGGTACCAGCCCCCACAGGGATTTGGGACAGGCCACTTTGTAGTGCAAAAGAGCAGAATTATTATTATTATTATTATTATTATTATTATTATTATTATTATTATTATTATTATTATTATTATTATTATTATTATTATTATTATTATTATTATTATTATTATTATTATTATTATTATTATTATTATTTTATCATCATCATAACTATTGTTATTATTCAATGTAACAATAGTATAATATTATAATATCATAATAGTATAGTATATAATAGTATAGTAAAATTTTAAATTATAATATAATATAATAATATAGAATATAATAATGTATATAATATGCTATATTATTTACAATGTATTATTAATAATAATCAATTGAAATATTATAACAGTATAATAATTTTATGCTATTATATTATAATTGTAGTATTATAATATAATAATATAGAATGTAATAATATATATAATATATAATGGAGGGTTTAGGGCAGAGGCAGAACCTTCTTCTTTACTTTCTTCTTCCTTCTTCTCCATGGATTTGGGTGGTATTTTATTTATTATATATTATATATTATTTTAGTCCATATTATTCTAATATATAATATAGACATTGATATTTATATATATATGTAATCTATATTTTATATTGAGAGATATATATTTATTTATATATATAGTATATGATATATATTTTATATATAATATATTATGTATATTATATATATTATATATAAATATATTGGCATGTTTATGTTAATAAATAATAATAATCGTAGTAATAATAATAATAATAATAATAATAATAATAATAATAATAATAATAATTATAATAATAATTATAATAATAATATCTGATAGCCCTCCACCAAGGATCAGGGCTTCCAAGTGCTCTCTGCTCTGCATTGAACATGGAGATGGAAATGGGGATTTTTTGGGGTGACAAACCCTCTGTGACCCCACTGGACACCCCAGCTGCCTCCTATCCCATAATTCCGCCCTGCTGTTTTAAGTTTATATTTTAAAAAGCCCCCAAAGCCCCTGAACTTGCAGCTGGAGTGGAAGCAGCTCTGGCGAGGGCAGAGAGGTGATTTTATCAGCACAGAATTGCCATTGAGACAGGGATTTACTGCTGGGAATGATTTTCTGCTAAACAGCGCTTGGGGAATAATACAAAGAGCAAATAAATTACCCCCAGAGCAAATTACCCCAGAGCAAATTATTCCAGAGCAAATTACCCCCGGGACTGAGGTCGACCCACAGCCTGTGGCAGCAGGGAGGGAGGGGGACAGGATGGTGCAAAAATTGGATTTTCACGGCAAGGAGAGGAGCAGCCCCCCCGTGGCTGGAGGGAGGAGGAGTTTCTGGAATTCCTGACAATTAAACCCAATTTTTGATCCTGTTTCTGGTGGGGAGTGGCCCTGGGCTGGATTTACAGGTGGAGGGGATTTTTAGGCTGGAAGTTTGATTTGGATGCTCTGGGTTTCTCCAGGAGCTGAGGGCAGTGTGTGCTCTCCTTGCCTTTTCCCTGCCCTATCCCAGATTTTTCCCAGTCTTTCCCATCCTTCTCCCATTCCCTGCTGGTCCCAGCAGGGGTTTCTGTGCTGCCAGCCCTCACCCAGAGGCAGATTCCACTCTGGGGATAAGAACTGTGTCCCTCAGTCCCCTCATCACACACAGGCAATGAGTTTTCCCTCAGTTTCTGTGGGAATTCTCTCTTGATTGGCATTCCACCCTGGATGTGGAGTGTGAAAAATGCCAATCACTTGTTTTTAAAATTTTAAAAGTTTAATAAAAATAAAATAGTTATAAAATAGCAATATAATTAGAAATAAAAATTTGGACAATTAGGATTTAGGACAATACGAGTCAATAAAAACAAAGTTACAGACAGTCCAGGTACCTCTTTCTGGGCAAAATAAGCCTGAAAAAGGACCCTCGTTAACAGAGGATTAACCCTTAAAAACAACAGCCTGTTGCATATTCATACACCTCATACATGATGCATAAATTCCATTCAAACAAAGGATTCTGTCTGGTCAGTGTCAGCTTCTTCCTCTGAATCCTGATGGCATCTTCAGGGCTGAGCGAGGTGGGAAGAACTTGATAAGAAAGAATAAATTCATTTTTTCTGAAAGATTTAGGTGCCTGTGGCTGCTATCTCAGTGTGAGTACCTTACTCAGCATAGTTTCTATTTTAACATTATGTCATAACCTAAAACTATATTTGCCACACGACTTAAGAAAATTAACACAGCATAACTTCCTAACATAACACATAAAATATTCATTTTAGTATTTGTGAAAGGCAATCATAAAACACACATTTTTCACAGGAGCCCCACAGAATCCATGCAGTGCAGGACACAAAGCAGGGTTTTACCTCTGCTGACAGGGAGGCAAAATCCTTCTCCACCTTTTCCTGGGGTATTTTTGTACCTGTTTTCCTGTCCCTAAGGAGAGAGCCCCATGAGTCACAGCTGGATATTTTTAATTTCTCATTACTTCAGTTTTAATTGTCCTGTTTTGTTTCCTGCCAGGGTTTGTGGGGTGGTGGTTGTTTTTCCTGGGGACTTGAGGTGGATCATTCACCTGAAATATTCTTTCCTTTGTTTTTTTAAACCCAAACCAAACATTTTTATTTTTTTTATGCAACTCCTGATCTGCCTGCTGGGCATGAGGAGCCTTTTTTGGGTAGGAACAAGAGGCCCAGCCTGTGCTGGGTGAAGTGACAGGCCTGAACTGCCTCATTTACAATCAACTTTCACTGATTAATTAGCTGTTAGTGCTGTTTGGATAACCTGGCCTATGGTGGCTGCTGCAGCTGCAATTACAACATGCCCTGACTCATTTGCTTCCCTTCAGGATTTTGAACCCAGCCAGCTCTGCAGAAAGCAGCGTGCAATTAAAACACAAAAAAAAATATAATAAAAATTAACGATGCCAAGCGTTGCCCGGGAGTTTTGACATCATTTTCTCTTTCCAGGAAAGTTTGTGAGATCAAGAAGCAGCTGAAGAGGCTCAGCAACCGCATCAGTGCCTGCAGCGTGGAGATGATGGAGTGCCAGGACTGCCTGCAGGGCGTGGGTGTCCAGCTCCTCCTGGCCTCCTCAGGAGAGCCCTGCAGGGTTTTTTCACCCCTTGCTGCAGGTTTTTGTGGGTGATCCAGGCTGGAGGTGCTGCTTTGTCCCGCTGTGTGAGCAGGGAGTGGGGAAACCTTTGGCAAAGGTGCCAAGGATTGCCAGGCACAGGGGGGGTGTGTGCCCAAAAAATGGGAATTACAGCAGGAGGAAAGTGCTGCTTCACCTCCAGCTGCCACAGCAACCCCCTGGAAGTGTGCTTGGGTTATTTTATTTTTTTATTCCATTTGTCCTGGGGCAGTGCTGGTGTGACCTCCTGGGTGCTGCTGAGTGTTTGGCCCCAGCTCAGCCCACGGACAGCCCCTGCTGTGGGCACTGCCTGCACTCTCCATCTCCATCTCATCTCCACAGGCTCTGGACAGGCTTCTCCAGGTGGAGCAATGGAATTTGGCCCCTCCTGTGCCTTCCCCCGTGCCCCTGAGCCAGGCCTGCCAGGAGATGGCTCTGCGGTGAGTCCCTGGTGCTGGATAACACCTTTTACTGGCTCAGAGGTGGGGCAACTGAGAGTTTAAAACTTCTATTCCATTTTCAGTCTCACTTCAATTAGGGCTAGATTTGCCCCTGCAGGGGTTAGGGCTGGATTTGCCCCTGCAGGATGCAGGAATTAGGGCTAGATTTTGCCCTAGAGGATGCAGGACTGTGGGCTGGATTTTCCCCTAAAGGATGCAGGAATTAGGGCTGACTGTGTCCCTGCAGGATTTAGGGCTGGATCTGCCCCTGCAGGAATTAGGGCTGGCTGTGTCCTTGCAGGAATTAGGGCTGGATTTTCCCCTGAAGGATGCAGGAGTTAGGTCTGAATTTGCCACTAAGGGTGCAGGAATTAGGGCTGGATTTTCCCTTAAAGGATGCAGGGATTAGGGCTGGATCTGCCTCTAAAGGATACAGGAATTAGGGCTGGATTTTCCCCTGCAGGATGCAGGAGTTAGGGCTGGATTTGCCCTAAAGGCTGTGCCTGTTCCCTGCAGGATGCAGGAGTTAGGGCTGGATTTGCCCCTAAAGATGCAGGAATTGGGTCTGGAATGGCCCTAAAGGCTGTGCTGTTCCCTGCAGGATGCAGGAATGAGGGCTGGCTTTTCCCCTAAAGGATACAGGAATTGGGGCTGGATTTGCCCTAAAGGCTGTGCTGTTCCCTGCAGGATGCAGGAATTAGGGCTGGACTGCAGGATGCAGGAATTGGGGCTGGATTTGCCCTAAAGGCTGTGCTGTTCCCTGCAGGATGCAGGAGTTAGGGCTGGATTTGCCCTAAAGGATACAGGAATTGGGGCTGGATTTGCCCTAAAGGCTGTGCTGTTCCCTGCAGGATGCAGGAGCTGCTGCAGCAGATGAGGTCGGTCTCCTGCGATCTGCAGCTCAACAACAGCATCATCGAGCGGTGAGTGAGAGCGCCCCGAGCTGCTGCCAGCACAGACCCTGCTCCTCCCTGGGAGCCACCAGCACGGCCACAGTCACCTCCCCGTGGGGTTTTTAACCTCCCGTGCTTGCATCATGGGCTGGCAGCAGCAGAATTTCTCTTTCTTGGAGTTTTAGCCAAGAGCTTCCCCATCATTTCATCCCCCTCTTTCCTGCCTTTTCCCTGTGCTGCCCAGCACTGACTGCTGCTCACTGCCATGGGGAACTAGATGCAGATTTTTCTGTATGAAAATCTCTGCAAAACCTGGAGTCTATGATTTTTTTCGCCCTAACATCCAATTTAAACCTCCCCTGGTGCAATTTGAGACCTCTTATTCTGTCACTGTTGCCTGGGAGAAGAGACCAACCCCACCTCACCTCAGCCTCCTTCCAGGGAGTTATAGGGAGCAGTAAGGTTCCTCCTGAGCCTCCTTTTGTGGTATTCCCATTCTCTGAACAGAAAAGCTCAGAGAGAGCAGAGAAAACATTTCTTGTCTCTATTTGCTTTCTCACTGCCTTCCCCAGGAAAAATCGTGGGAGAGAGAATGATGTCTCTCTCTGTTCAGAGAATGGGAATACCACATCCTTTTCTCCAGGGTGAACACCTCCAGCTCCTTCAGTTGCTCCTCACAGGACAAATTTTCCAGCCCACAAATGAAAGAAAACCTCTGGGTTTGCAGACAGAAGACGTGTTGGTGTGGTTGTCCATTTAATCAGGCTGAGAAAAGCTGGGAATCACCCCCGTGATTTTCCTCCTCTGCATCCTTTCCTTGAGGCTCTGAATGCAAATGGACAATGAGGATATGTACAATTCCTTCCCAACATCTCATCTAGATCTCTGCTCTTTTACTCTAAAGCCATCCCCCTTGTCCTGTCACTAAAAAGTCACTCTGCCTCTTCTTTAAAATCCTGATTTTCATGGATCAGCACATCCAGGAGTTTTAAACGACAAAACCCAAGGAGTTGGGAATTCAGCCCTGTTTTTAGGACCTCATCTGCCCTAAATCCTTTTGTCCCTGCAGGTTGGGTGGGGCTGCTCCTGCTCCCAGCGTTTGAGGGACATGGTGAGGGTGCAGCTGCTGAAGCAAAACTTCCCAGCAGAGGGGATTCACAGCACCTGGAGCCACAGAGCTGCTGCACTTCCGTGCCCTGGGAGCTCTCCGTGTCCTACCTCTGTGCCCCAGCACTTTGCACGTTCTCCCCCCTCAGCCCCGAGTGCCCTGAGCCTCTGGAAGTTTGGCCAGAAAATCGAGTGGGATTTTATATTTTTCTTTAAAAAAAAAAAATGCTTGAAGGACTTGGTGATTCATGGTTTCTCTGCATCACTCTGTCAGATGAGGAAGAAGAAGAGCTTTAATCTTTCATCCTCTTACTTATTTAGGAATTATTCCCACTTTTAATGTCCTGGAGTGGGCTGGGGGTGCTGGTGGCTGAGAGCTGCCCTGGGAAGGCATTCCCAGCCCTTCCCTGCTCCAGAGGGACAGGATGGAGGGGGAACACATCCCTGAACCTTGCTGTCCCTCGGGAATGGCACAGAGAGCTGCGGGAGGGCCCTGCTGGCCCAGCCTTTGCTGGGGACAATCGTTCTGCTCGGTGTCCTGGCTGGTTTTTGACCTCGGGGTTGATGAGGAGCCGTAATTCCCTGATGGTCAGCCAGGGCAGCCACAGGGATTGCCAGGGCTGGGAGTGGAGATGGGAGCAGGAGATGTTTGTGGGAAGGCTCAGCCACACTGCCCCTCATCCTGGCTGTCCCCAGAGTGATCTATGGGCTGTCCCCACATCCCACACCCCATCCCGGGGAGCAGCAGGGTGACAGATCCCACCCTGCTGGGATCATCCCACACCCCAAAGCTGGGCAGGGTGACAAATCTCACCCTACTGGGATCATCCACCTCCCCATCCCAGGGAGCAGCAGGGTGACAAATCCCACCCTTCTGGGCCCATCCAGCACCTCCATCCCAGGGAGCAGCAGGGCAGGGTGACTGATCCCACCCTGCTGGGCTCATCCCACACCCCCAAGCAGGGCAGAGTGACAAATCCCACCCTGCTGGGCCCACCCCACCCATCCTGGCACATCCCAGTGTGCCAGGGCACATCCATCCCTCCCTGCAAAGGCAGCAGGAGGAGGGAGGAGCAGCAGCTGCAGGGCTGTGCCCAGCCTGACTTTCTTGTAGGAACATGCCAGGGGTGCCCAGGAGCCTCCCCCGCCCAGGAAACCTTTCCCCAGTGGAATTTGGCAGCAGAGCTCCCCATTCATTTTAATTATAAAAACCAACATCCTGAATGTCAGACCCAACTGTTTGCTGTGCAGAGGTGGAGCTAATCCATCCCTTCAAAGCTTTTCTCCTAAGAATGATTTCCTGGTGCTCGCTGGGTTTTCTGAGGGGTGTTATTTTGAATGCAGGCAGAATTCTCTGCTGTTCCCAAAGGAGCAGGGCAGGGAGCCCAGGCAGGGTCCCTGCTGCACCTCCTGGCACTCACAGGAGCTGCACTGCCTCGCACCAGCTGAGCATTTGACCTGGAACATGTTTGGCTTCAACTAAAAGGGATTTATTTCTTGGCAAACAGAAAAAAGAGTTTTTGCTAATAGCCCTTGTCATGCTTTAACTGCTGTTACACAGCAGCTGCAGAGGGGACTTCTGGAATCCAAATGAAACAAGAATTTTCCTGCCAATGTTAATTACTCAGAGTTTTCTTTTTCCCCAAAAATATTTTAACCTGTGGCCTAAAAGAGCTCCCTGTGCTGTCAGCTCTGAATACCTGAAGGGAAGGATAATGACTGTCATGAGCCTCGTGCAGGCTGGGCCACAGCTTGCTGTGGGGACAGAAAATATTACATTTATTTCGTATTTTTGTGTCCTGAGGCTGCAGAACAGGGACTGGAGCTGTCTCCTGGGATGGTGTTGGGAAAATGAAAGCCCAGAATGGTTTTAGGAGGTTCCCAGCCAGAAATTTCCTTCATTGTAGGTGATTTCTGATACAATTAACAGTTTGTGGAGGACGTAGGACAAACCACCAAACTTTTGTAGAACAATTTACTGAGGAATAAATCAGCTGCTGTTTTGAAGCAGAAGTAAAGGAAATATGAAAGCAAAGCAGGATCCTGAATTGGGAAGGAAAAGACCTTCCAGAAATTAATCTGGCTGCTTACCACAGAACAAAACTCTGATTTTCCCAGCTGCATTATTCCTCTTTCAGTTTGAAGCTGTTATTAGGGGGTGACTAGGCTGCTGTGATTCAGAGCCAGTGTTTTAATCCATCCTTCAAATTAGAATCCTTGAAAAGGATTTAGATATCCTCAGCTTATCCTGTCCTCAGGAGTACACGGGGACATCAAATTCAGCTTCCCATAAGCCCGGATTCACCCAGCCCTCCCCTCCCTTCTCTTCCAAAAACCTGAATACAGATGGACAATGGGAATATGCACAATTCCTTCCCAAAATCTCATCTAAATCTCTCCTCTTTTACTTTAAAGCCATCCCCCTTGTCCTGTCACTAAAAAGTCCCTCTCCTTTAAAATGCTGGTCCTGATTTTCATGGAGCTGTCTCCTGGGATGATATCGGGAAAATGAAAGTCTGGAATGGTTTTAGGCGGCTCCCAGCCAGGTGCCAGGTAGACCTTCACCCTCAGAAATGTCCTTTATTGTGGGTGGTTCCTGATACAATTCACAGTCCGTGGAGGACATCCCCGGCCGAAATTCGGGGATGATTCTGCCGGAATGAGCGTGTTTCAAACCAGGAGGAGTGAGAGAGCAGAGCAGGGCCGGTGGTGTCACCCCTGCGTGGCTCAGGGCTGTGTCACCCTGCAGCCACGCACGCCAAAGGAGCGATCGCAGGGACGGGGGACAGGGACCTCCCCACGCCCTGTGACAGCCCCGGCGCTGGAAGGGGGGTCACTGCAGTGGCAGGGGACACGCAGCGCCAGCCGTGCCCGGGGGAAGGTGTGCCAGCAACGCCGCGGGCACCGCTGTCCCCGGTCACCGCTGTCCCAAATCACCGCTGTCCCCAATCACCGCTGTCCCCCAACACCGCTGTCCCCCCTGTCACCGCTGTCCCCGAGCTGCTGCTCCAGGTTTGGCCGCGGTATTTTCCCTTTCACGGTCCCCACAAGCACGGGAGCCTCGGCTCCGCGGGGAGGCAATTCCTGCGTGTCGCAGCCCTCGGCTGGCGGCTGTCCCCGCGGAGGGGACAGGGGCTTTTCCCCGTGCTGCTCTGCGGGGACACAGCGCCTGGACGGGCTGCGCTGCCCAGTAGGCGCTGGGGAAAAACGCTGCCTGTGTGACCCCCCCGGGGGATGCACAGACCCCAGGGGAACCCCAGCCCCGCGGGGTGACTGTCCCCGGAGCCCCCGGAGCGGGGATTCCCGGCGAGAGAGCAGCGGGGACATTCCGGGGGCGCGCACGGGGAATGCCACGGGCAAACCTCGCTGGGGCTGCGGCTGCCAAGCCTGCCGCCCCTCGGGGGGGTCCCCGCGGGAGGGGCGCCCCGCGGGGCCGCTGCCGGTGCCACCCCCGCCGTGTCTCCTCCCTCCCGGCCGGTCCCAGGCGCCTGCGCTGCCCCGCGCCCGCCGCTCCGAGCCCATGGCCTCGCCGGCCGTGGGGCCGCGTCCCCGCCCGCGGGAGCCCCCCGAGCGCGGCCGCGGCCACCGCTTCGCCCCGCGCCTGCCGCGCCGGGGATGGTGCGACCTGTGCGGGGAGGCGGTGCGGGAGCGCGCCCTGCGCTGCGACTGTGAGTGCTGGCCCTGCCTGTCCCCCGCTGTCCCCTGTCTGTCCCTCGCTGTCCCCTGTCTGTCCCTCGCTGTCTCCTGCCTGCCCCTCGCTGTCCCTGCCTGCCCCTCGCTGTCCCCTGCCTGCCCCTCGCTGTCCCTGCCTGCCCCTCGCTGTCCCCTGCCTGTCCCTCTCTGTCCCCTGTCTGCCCCTCGCTGTCCCCTGCCTGCCTCTCTCTGTCCCCTGCCTGCCCCTCGCTGTCCCCTGCCTGCCCCTCGCTGTCCCTGCCTGTCCCTCTCTGTCCCCTGCCTGCCTCTCCCTGTCCCCTGCCTGTCTCTCTCTGTCCCCTGCCTGCCCCTCCCTGTCCCCTGCCTGTCCCTCGCTGTCCCGCACCCCTGCCCTTCCCTCATCCCTTACCCTGCCCGGACTCTCCCCCCGGACCCTCTTGCTCCCCTCGCCCCTCTCTGCACCCTCGGGCCCGGTTTGGACCCGCCGGGTCCCCCCTCTACCCGGGAGGGCCCGGGCCGGGGTCTGCGGGCGCGGTGCTGCCGGGCGGGTTTGGAAAATGCAGCTTTTCCAGGAAAGAGGAGAGGATGATCGGCTCATGGGCGGGGTTGGCATCCGAGCAGGGAGGGTTCGCCTCGGTAAAGCTTCACAGCGAGGGGTAAAGTCCTCTCGAATTTGTGCCCGAAGCTCTGCCCAAAGCCCGGCTCAGGTGCCGATGTTCCTGACGGGGGATCCGCGCTGCGCTGCTGCTGTCGGGGCTCTGCAGGACAGATTGATCCCCTCCTGCGTGGGAAGGGGCCCGAGGGGACGCGGCTGGGGCTGTGCGGTGACACCCGCGCCGTGTCCCCTGTCCCGGGTGCTGCTCCCGCTCCCTGACCCGTGTTAGGTGTGGCGGGGGGGGAAAACGAAGAGGTTTTAGCAAAGCTGTGTCCCTGATAACTTTGGGATTTGAGCTGTGAAACCGCTCCTGCCCAGCCCGGCCCCTCAGGCTGGGGGAAACCTTTGGGATGCAGCTGCTGGGGCTTGGGGGATTGAAAATTCCCTGCTCGGGGTCGGCCGAGCCTCTCGATTTTTGGCAGAAGGTGTCAATGCCCATGCCGTTCCCTGCAGGGTTGTGCCCACAGCATCACCCGGACCTGCGAGGGTGCCCGGTGTGGGTGTGGAGGGCAGCGAGCTGGTGCCGCTGCTAATCTGGGGCTGAGCTGGGGGTGGGGAAGCGTCGCTGCTCATTTTTGGGGTTGTTTGGGAGGGCTGTGCCAGGCCCCGGCCCCACCGGGGCAGTCAGTGCCTGGCTCAGCCCGTTCTGGTGCCCAGCTCAGAGCACGAACCCATCACATGTTTCTGGGGGGATTTGCGGGGCTCTCCCGGTGCTCTTTGGGATGAAGGGCGGTAGCAGCACCATATGGCCCTGCTGCAGCTCATTAGGGTTTAGCCCTAATGACTGCTGATAATTAAATGTCACCCAGCCGCCGCCACAACGTGACACTGCCTGGGTGACTGGGGGCTGGCACATTGGTGGATGTAAATCTGATTTTTAGGGTGCACCTTTGCTTTCTGCCTGGCAGAAATCTTTCCTGATTAATCTTTCCTGTTTAATTCCCTCAAAAGCTGCTCAGGGCCAGGTGATTCCCCGGGGCTGGGAGCTCCTGGCATGAATGAGTGCGCTTAAAGAAATATCGAGTTTAGGAGAAATAAGGTTAATTTAAGGGGAAAAGTCTTTGCTGAGGCTCTTTCACCAGCCCCTGGAAGCTGGGGTCAGGTGCAAGGTGAGGTCCTGGATTTTGTGCTTTGAAATCCTGACTTTAAGTGGAACCTCACAGAATTGTGTGGTGTTGTGAAATGCTGCATAAATAGCTGTTTTGGGAGACTTCTCCTCTGGCAGGATGCTTTCCATACTTATATTGAAACAGATTTTAAATAACTCCATTTCCCTTTTCATTTCGGAGAATTATGCAGACTGTGGGAGTAGTTCTGCCTCGAAAACTCCCCAAACAACCGAGATGGGGGAGGGACACTCCTATCTGCATTCCCTGTCATCCCAATAGTGATTCCCATTAAAAATGCCTGAGAGCTGCAGACGGGGCGTGCTCTCCCCCTTCGGTGAACATTTATTTTTTTTTCTTTCTGATGCGGAGTTGCTGCTTGTTTGCTTTTGACTCGCAGCCTGAGGATACTCAGGTTTTTGTTTGTACAGTTCTGGCCTGTTTTTATTTACGTCAGATCTGGCTGTATTTGGTAAAATGGGAAAGTGACATTTCTTTATTTATTTAACTTATTTGTTTGTTTATTTATTTATTGTGATTATTTACAGTTCACTCTGGAGAAAAGGAGACTCAGGGGGAACCTTTTCTGATTTTAACCCCAGTCCTGTCTGCAGATGCTGTACCTGAGGCTGATGCTGCCTGAGACATGGGAGCCTTTTTTCCCTGCTTTTATTTGGAATTTGTGCAGGGCACACATCCAGCATCCTGCTCCCACTGGTGTCAGTGTGAAAGGATGGGGAGGTGGGAGCTTGGGAGCAAATCCTGCTGGAATTCCCTGAAAATCCTCATTTCCAGCCTTGGAGGGAACTGGGCAGGAGGAGCAGCTGTGCCTCGAGCAGCTCCTGGCTGATGTGTGTGGCTTTGTGAGTGCCGGCAGCTCCCAGAGCTGTCTGCAGTGAAGGAAATCATCTTTGTGGGGTGTGAATGTCTGTCCTGCTGCTGGGGCACGGCTTGTCCTGCCGGCTTCTCCCAGCAGGGGCTGGATGAGCAGGGTGCGGAGGTGCTGAGGGTGTCTGGGTGCAGTTTTTGGGTGTCCCGGTGACTCAGGCAGCTCCAGAGCCCTCTGTGTGTTCCCCTGGCATTTGGGACAGCCCAGGAACCAGGTTGGGCTCAGCTGGGGCAGTTCCTGCTGGGAAGGGTTGGGTGGACACCCAAGAGCTTCCCTTGGTGTCTCTGATAACCAAAAATCAACTATTTTGATATTTGAGTTGATAAAGTAGTGACTGGCTGAAGGGTTTCTTTGCAAGGAGCCCACCCCAGGTGCTTCCCTGTGGCAGGGCTGGCGTGGGGCAGCCCTGGAGGGAAACCTCAGAGCGTGTCCAGCCCCTCTGCAAGCCCGCAGCCAGCTCTTGATCTGCAGGTCTTGCCACACAGACCCAGCTCAGCAAAGCACTCAGCATCCCAATGGGGTTTGTGCCTCTGCTCTGGAGCCGCCCTGATCTCCCCAGCAGCTCCTGCTCTGCTCAGGCCCTGTGCTGAATCAGCCCCAGCTGGTAAAACACCATTTCTCTTTGTGATTTATAGAGCAAACTCCAGTTTTAACACTGCTGGCTCTCCAGGAGCTGTTTGTTTAAGATAACAAGTTCTTTACTGAGTTCTTTACCGAGTCCTTCACTGAGCCTGGCCCAGGCTCTGCTCACACTCTGCTCACACTCTGCTCACACTCTGCTCACACTCTGCTCACACTCTGCTGCCCTTGTGGCTTCTGTGTCTCTCCTCCCACGCTCAGTCTGGCCACTGCAAACCACCATCGCCGACAGGACCCGCAGCACTTTGCATTTCTGTCCCGTTTAGCTGAGCCGGGCAGATTCCTGCTGCCAGGTGACTCTGCAGGTTGGCCGAGGGCAGGGTGGGGTCCGGGGTGCCTCCCGCCCACCCTGCTCCTCCCCGGGAGGAGGTGAGCTGTGGGGAGGGACAGGGACCTGCCCGGAGCCGTGGGACAGGCTCCTGGCGTGCCCCAGGTCTCCCAGGGTCATGTTTCCTGCTGCGTTCCACTTCGGTGCCTTGGGAAGGGTTTATGGAGAGAGACGCCAGCCGAGGCTGCAGCTCTCACCCTGCAGGTTGGTGTTTGGGCTTCTCCCCCTGCTTCATCCCGGTGAAGCTCGGTGGAGTTTGCTGGAATGGCTGTGGGGAGGAGGGGGGTGGCTGAGGAAGAGAGAACTCGGTGCTTTTGCTGCTCAGGGTGGGGTTTGGACTGAATTCCACCTTTGTCACTCCCTCTGTGGTGCTGGGTGCTGTTTGTCCTGAGCAGGGACAAAGTGGCAGATTCAGGGGCGGTGTTAAACTGGTGTTTGTGTCCCACCCTGTCACTGGACCCTGGTACAGCTGTAACTGATCCACCATGGGGTGGTTTGGGTGGGAAGCACCTCAAAACTCATCCCACCCCAGCCCTGCCATGGCAGGGACACCTTCCACTGTCCCAGGCTGCTCCCAGCCCTGTCCAGCCTGGCCTTGGGCACTGCCAGGGATCCAGGGGCAGTCACAGCTGTGCCAGGGCCTGCCCACCCTCACAGGGAGCAATTCCTTCCCAATATCTCATCTAAATCTGTTCTCTTTTAGTTTAAAGCCATCTCCCTTGTCCTATCACTAAAAGGTCACTCTCCCTCTTTAAAACACTGATCCTGATTTTCATGGATGCTGTGAAAGGCTCTACGAGCCTCTCTTAACTATGTGCAGAGTTTAAATCAATATTATAAATATAATTAATCTCAGTGGGTCCCTTTAACCTCTGATTAAACACTGTTTTGTCCCTCTTTAAAACTTTATCCCTCTTTTAAACTTTAAAAGGCTGTGGTGAAAGGCAGCAAAGAGAGAAGAGGGGATGTCAGGGAGAGACCTCCCAGCGCACGGCCGAGCCTGTGCTTTCTCTCTCTAATCTCTTCCCTTGGGTTATTTTATCTTATCAAGCAAAAAGCCCCAGAAATAGAAAGTTTTCCATGGCTTACAGGAGATGCACAAGGCCTGAGCTGCTCAGAAAAATAAATAAATAACCCTTCAGATGGCAGCAGGTTGTAAATGGCCAATGTCAAGGCTTTATCTCCGTGGGGGAAAAGGCCTCTGGTGGGAGCAGACACAACTCGCTCCAGTGCCTGCTGCATCCCAGAGCATTTGGGCTTGGAAGGTGCCTGGAGAGCTCCTGGCCTCCCCTGCCCAGGATGACGGAGGGGAAGGAGGGGGCAGCCTCTTGTTTCGGGCTTGTAACAAAGAGAATCCCTAAAATCTTCAGGCATTTCCCCAAGGGCAAGCCCTGCTTCACAGCGCTGCGTCCACCCCGGAGGCCCAGCAGGGAGGTGCTGCTGCTTCCAGGTAGGTGCTGCTGGGCTTTGGGGTTTTTGGCTGGGTTTGCCGCTGATTTTTGGGGTTTGGGGTTTGCCTTGGTGCTGCTGAGCCACGGGGATCCTGCCTGGGTGGGCACAGGGCTGGCACCACCCCTGTGGCACCGGGTGGCTTCAGCTTCTGTGGCAGGAGCACAGGGCAGGGCTGCTGTCCCAGCTGCCACCCCAAAGAGGAATTTGGGGTTTGTTAAACAATGGCTCCACAGCACCTGCCAGCAGCTGGGGTGACAGGTCTGTCACTGCTGGAGGCTGCAGTGACACAGGGACCTCACAGAGGGGTGGCTGGCACCGAGGGGACCCTGTCTGCTCTGGGCAGACACAAACAGCCCCCGGGGCTTATCAGTGTTTGCAGATAAATGAACCCAAAGCATCTGGTTTGGAGCTAAAAGGTGACACTGCAGTGATGGAGCTGCAGGGCCGGGGCTGGGGCAGTGCCCTGGGGGTGGCAGGGGGACAGAGACCTTCCCTGGGGTGCTGGTGACACAGATCCCCATCCCTTCAGAGCCTGCCACCGCCCTGGTGACACAGATCCCCATCCCTTCAGAGCCTGCCACCGCCCTGGTGCCACAGGGCCACATCCTGCTGCCACCCCCGAGGTCACCCCCGTGACGTCGGGCACGGGAGGAGCTCTCAGGCTTGCAAAATCCAGCCTGCACCTGGAGCTGTGGGAGCCCCTGGAGCATCCCAGAGGCTGGCTGGAGGAGATCTCCCTCCTGACACCGTGCAGGGACATGGTGCCACCTGAAGAGCCTCCTTCTCCTTCTGTCCCCATGCCCCCCTGGTCAGTGGGGCTGGGAGGTGCCCCGTGGGGTCTGTGGTGTCCTGGGGGTGGGCAGAAACTTGGAGAAGCTCTTCCCTGTGAGGATGGGGAGGCCCTGGCACGGAGCAGCTGTGGCTGCCCCATCCCTGGAAGTGTCCCCAGGGCCGCCTGGGATGGGTGAAGGTTCCCCTTGGCAGAGGAGCTTTAGGTCCCTTCCCACCCAAGCCATTCTGTGACTACAATCTTATGTTTAGGCATTTTTCTGGGACTGATTTGCCCATTTTACCCCTCTGAGTGACTTTACCTGTGCACAAAGGGAAGTTCCCTTCAGCCACCATGACCTTTCTCTCTCTTTTTTTAAAAGAAACTCCATTTCCAAGTGTTCCATTGTTTGACTGGAATGGAAATTATCTTAAAGCCTTAAGTGGAGGCATCCTGCTCCTCTTGGCAAACCGGTCACGTGGCTGCTTCCTAAAGCTGTGCAGGGTTTCTAAAATTAGTGTTCCCCAGCGGATCCCCAGTGATTAGGCCTGTTAATAGGTGATGGTGTCACACTTTAGTCCCACAAAGAAATGCCACAACGGGCCTGATCCGGAGGAAGTCCCTGGCAATTGGCATTTCTGTGGTGCAAATGACCCCTGGCACACCTTTGGCTGCCTTTGCCCCTCAAGCTGGAGCTGCCCAAATGTGAAAATCTGGGCAGAGGGGACACTGTGGTGCTGGCAGATGCTCAGGTGAGCCCACAGCTGGAGCATTCTCCAGCTGGCAGCTCCAGCAAAGACTTGGCCAATGTTCCCCATTGAAAGGCTGTTCCAGTCGCTGGAAAGGTCATGCATTAAATTACTGTGTAACTGCAGCTTATCTCTAATTAAAAAAAAAAAAAAAAAAGAAAAAAAAAAGCCAAATCTCCCTGCTTTTCCCCCAGGCTTCCTTGAGACAACTGGCTTGGAATAGGAGAATGACAGACAGCTCACGCCAGATGAATGTGAAATGATAAATGATTTCCCTGTTTCCCCTGGAGATTGATGCTTCCCCCCTCAGGCACCAGCTCCCAGCAGTGCTTCAGCTCCTCTCATTCATTCTCAGGCACTGCAGAACTCACCAGAGCTGAGCAGAAATCAGTTCCCAGAGCAAACAGGAGATATTCCTTTGCTTTCCTGCAAGCCCCAGACATTCAAAACTAATGACCTAAATGCTAAAGGGAAAAAAAAAAAGGAAGAAAAAGGAAAAAGAAAGAAGATATGTATTTAAAATAAAAGTTCAGTGGCTCTTAGCAAGGTCGTGGGGCTGGTGCAGGGACAGGCACTCGCATCCCTTTTAGGATATAATTATTTTTTTCCAGGTCGGTGACCGCTCTGGAATTTTGGGCAGTGTAAAAAGTAAATGTAAGGCTGTTTGTATGGCAGTTAAAAATTAAAAGGCTCAGGTGGGCCCTTAAAGTGGACGCAGGTTGGTCATGCAGCCAGGAGGGTTCGGGGGAGCTGGGGGTTGCAGGAGTGATGGCCACAAATTTGGGATAACTGGAGCTGGCTGTGCCAACCGTGCCCTCTGCAGCTGGGGGTGGGCAGGGCCCTGTGCCTGAAGGGTTAAAGCTGCTCTGTGCAGATCACCCGTGCAGGAATGGGTTAATGTCTGCAGAGAAAACAGCTCCAGAAGTGCCTTGATGCACCTGGGACAGGAGGTGTGAGCCTCTGCTGGGCTGGGACTGTCCCTGCCTGCCCAGGGTGGATTTGGGGCTGTGCTGGCACCGTGTCCCTGCCCTGTCCAGACTGGATTTGGAGCTGCTGGTGGCACCGTGTCCCTGCCCTTTCCACGTTGGATTTGGGGCTGTGCTGGCACCGTGTCCCTGCCCTGTCCAGGTTGGATTTAGAGCTGTGCTGGCACCGTGTCCCTGCCCTTTCCACGATGGATTTGGGGCTGTGCTGGCACCGTGTCCCTGCCCTCTCCAAGGTGCTTTTGGGGCTGTGGTGGCACCATGTCCCTGCCCTTTCCAGGGTGGATTTGGGGCTGTGCTGGCACCGTGTCCCTGCCTGCCCAGGGTGGATTTAGAGCTGTGGTGGCACCGTGTCCCTGCCCTCTCCAGACTGGATTTGGAGCTGTGGTGGCACCGTGTCCCTGCCCTGTCCAGGGTGCATTTGGAGCTGCTGGTGGCACGTCCCCACATCTGTCACCACCTCTGACCCTTGAAGTTTTCATGTTTAGCAGCTGTGGCTGCCCCTGGATCCCTGGGAGTGTCCAAGGCCAGGCTGGACAGGGCTTGCAGCAGCCTGGGATGGTGGAACTGGCTGATCTTTAATGTCCCTTCCCAAACCCTTGGGTGACATTCAGTGACCTTAAATAGTCTGATGTCTGTCCAGTACAAAGGTACTTCCCAGAGGTGGGAGGTTGTGGGAAATGGATTTATTGAAAATTTTTAAAGTTTAACCAAAAGTTCACATAGTGTGTATCTGTATGCAAACTCATGGTGGGAGGTTGTGGGAAATGGATTTACCAAATTTTTGAAGTTTAACAAAAAGTTCACATAGTGTGTATCTGTATGCAAACTCTGAGATAAAAAATGTTGACTTAGAAATGCCACAGAATAAGACAAACATTGTTGGGAGAGAAATTGAACTACGTTTCAAAGTATAGCTTTACAAATAAGACTGGATATTTTACAGAAACAGAGCTATGATTGTGGTAAGACTTATGAGGAGTAATTTTAGATAATTAGTTTTAAGATATTTATAACATAGTGTAGAAGCTGATAGGCCAAGAAATGCTTATAGTGCTTTGTAATCAGGAAATAGTTAACTTTTGATTGTGATGGTGTGAATTGTAACACGTGCATTGTCTCACCCTTCTCATGAGACTGAAAATGGAATAAAAGCTTTTAAACCTCCCCTCGGTGGCCCAGCTCTGGCTCAGCAAAGGGCACTGTCTGACAGGAGGGGAAGGGTCCCTTCCCTGTGCCCGGGGCAGGCTTTGCTGCAGGTGGCACCTGCAGGAGCAGAGCTGCCATGGGGTTCCCGTTTGGGGTTTGGGGGGATTTGGGGATCTTCCGTCCGTTACAGGTCAGTGAGGCAGCAGGAACGGGGCTGTGCTGCCCCAGGGGAACAGAGCAGAGACCTGGCACACGTGTGGGAGCCGGGTTTGCTCTGGGTGTGCTGTTCTGGGGCCTCTCCTCACCTGCAGGAGTGTCCCTGAAAAACGGGGACGTGTGTGTTAAATGGGACATGTGTGCTAAATGGGACATGTGTGTTAAATGGGACGTGTGTTAAAAAGGACATGTGCCTGAATAATGGGGACATGTGTATTAAATGGGACATGTGTGCTAAATGGGACGTGTGCTAACAGGGACATGTGTGCTAAAAGGGACATGTGTGTTAAATGGGACATGTGCCTGAACAGGAATATGTTGTTAAAGGGACATGTGTGCTAAAAGAGGCGTGTGTTAAAAGGGACATGTGCCTGAATAACGGGGATATGTGTGTTAACAGGGACATGTGTTAAAAGGGACATGTGTGCTAAAAGGGACATGTGTGCTAAAAGGGACATGTGCCTGAACAAGAGCCTGTGTGTTAAAAGGGACCTGTGGCTGAACAGGGACATGTGTTAAATAGGACATGTGTGTTAAAAGGGACCTGTATGTTAAAAGGGACATGTTCCTGAGCAGGGATATATATGTTAAAAGGGACATGTGCCTAAATGGGGACATGTGGCTGAACAGGGACATGTGTGTTAAAGGGGCATGTATGCTAAAAGGGACATGTGCTTGAACAGGAGCCTAAAAGGGACATGTGTGTTAAATGGGACATGTGCCTGAACAGGAATATGTTGTTAAAGGGACATGTGTGCTAAAAGAGGCGTGTGTTAAAAGGGACATGTGCCTGAATAACGGGGATATGTGTGTTAACAGGGACATGTGTTAAAAGGGACATGTGCCTGAACAAGAGCCTGTGTGTTAAAAGGGACCTGTGGCTGAACAGGGACATGTGTTAAATAGGACATGTGTGTTAAAGGGGACCTGTATGTTAAAAGGGACATGTTCCTGAGCAGGGATATATATGTTAAAAGGGACATGTGCCTAAATGGGGACATGTGGCTGAACAGGGACATGTGTGTTAAAGGGGCATGTATGCTAAAAGGGACATGTGCTTGAACAGGAGCCTGTGTGTTAAAAGGGACATGTGTCTGAACAGGGACACGTGTGTTAAAAGGGACATGAGTCTGAACAGGGACGTGTTAAATGGGACATGTGTGTTAAAAGGGACACGTGTGTTAAAAGGGACATGTGTTAAATGGGACATGTGTGTTAAAAGGGACACATGCCTGAGCAGGGACCCGTGCCCGCTCCAGCTCTGGCCCTGCTGCAATCCCGTCCCTTCGTGCTCCCCGCCGTGTCCCCAGCCCCAGGGCAGGCCGGGTGCCTGACGCTGTCCCCTCTGTCCCTGCAGACTGCAGGTACACGTGTCACCAGGAGTGCCGCAGCCTCATCCAGCTGGACTGCCGCCGGCCGGGCCAGTGCCAGAGCCAGCTGTCCCCAGAGAGCACCCTCGTGCCACCCTGCTGCCAGGTACGTGGGGAGGGGGCTCGGGGGGGCACAGCCCCTGGCGGCCTGCAGAGAGAGACTGCCTGCTCCCAAGGGGCTTCCAGCAGGGAGGGCTCCTCAGAGCCCAGGAGTGTCACCGAGGTGCCCAGGAGTGTCACTGAGGGGTCACCTGCAGCCCAGGAGTGTCACCGAGGTGCCCAGGCGTGTCACTGAGGTGTCACCTGCAGCCCAGGAGTGTCACCGAGGTGCCCAGGAGTGTCACTGAGGTGTCACCTGCAGCCCAGGAGTGTCACCGAGGTGCCCAGGAGTGTCACCAATGCAGACTGTTCTGCCCAATTACAAAATGCCACCCAAACCCAAGAAGAGGAAGGAAGAAGCAGCATGAGGAAGAAACCCAGGACAGCACCCTGTGCCCTCCATCCTGCTTCCATCCACAACACACTGAAAATCCCAAACCTCAATTTCTCACAAGTGACACACCTACACCACTCTCTAGAATCTGTTTCACACTTTTGTGGGTTCCAGTCTATCTGAAGTCTGGGAAACTTTCTCCTTGATGAGGGTCACAGTCAGTGCTGCCCTGGGGGTCAGGGCACCCCAGAGCAGACAGAGAAATATTCCCTGTGCCCTGGGTTTGCACAACCTGCAGCCCTGAGTGTCACTGAGGTGTCACCTGCAGCCCTGAGTGTGGTGCCCTGCCTGGGTGTGGCAGGATGGAGGTTGGGAATGTGGGCATCGCCCTCCCTCCTCCCTGCAGAGGGGCGTGTGGAGCTCTGTGGTGTTTAAAATGCTGCTGTCACCTGAGCTGCTGTCACCTGCTGTGCAGGGACACCAACCCCCCCACGGCCCAAGTGTCAGGGTATTGAATTTGTGAGGTTCCCAGATGAAGGGAGGAGTGATGAATCTGACTCCGTGCTCTCAGAAGGCTCATTTATTATTTTATGATCTATATTATATTAAAGAGTGCTATACTAAACTATACTAAAGAATACAGAAAGGATACAGGCAGAAGGCTAAAAAGATAATAATGAAAACTCGTGACTCTTTCCAGAGCCTCGACACAGCTTGGCCCTGATTGGCAAAGGAGTCAAAACAATTCACATGAAACCAATGAAACAATCACCTGTGGGTAAACAATGTCCAAACCCCTTCCAAAGCAGCAAAACACAGGAGAAGCAAATGAGAAAATTATTTTTTTCCTTTTTCTCTGAGGCTTCTCAGCTTCCCAGGAGAAGAATCCTGGGCAAAGGGATTTTTCCAGAAAAAATGACAGTGCCACCAGTGCCTGCGAGGGAGGATCCGTACTGGGATGGGGCTGGGACTGTCCCAGCACGGGTGCACACGTGGGCAGCAGAGATGCATCTCCCAGGGCAGGAGCGTGCCTCTGCAGGAGTGCTGGCTGCCAGCCTTGTTTTGAGAGTTTCAGTAGTCCCGGGGGATGGAGGCTCTTCAGTCCCTGTCAGGACGTGCAGTAATCCCAGGCTTACTCCGGAAGGCTCAGCTTTGCTTTAATCCTGCTGTGTCTGGGGCTCCTGCGTGGGTGGCACGGGCTGCAGGGCCAGGGAGCTCTCACCAGGGAGGAAGGGATGGGAGAAGCTTAAGGCACGGCTGGGAGACCTGTCTGGAGTGTATGTGGCCGGGATGGAGCCTTTGCAGGCTCTCTGTGCTTTTGGGAAATGTTTGGGACAGCTCTGCAGGGTCGTGGTGGAGCCACCATGCCTCCAGGGGTTCAAAACATGAGTGGATGTGGCTCTTTGTGACCTGCCTTGGTGGGCGTGGTGGGATTCAGTCAAAGGGCTTTTCCAGCCTTGATGATTTCGTGGTTCTGTGTTCTCTCCCTCGTTACAGCCCCCTGTTTATATCCCTCTTTGTGGAGGACCCTGATGCGCTCGTGCAGAACTGGAGATGGGAATGTTTTGCACTGTTCCAAAGGCAAACATAGGGTTTCTGTTTGGTGTGTGGGGTTTGGTTTCCATCCATCCTTTGCTGGGCAGCTGCTGCTCAAAATAAAATGATCAGGAGAGATCTGAAGTGGGATGGGATTGATCTTCTTAAATAATGCATTACAAAAGGCTCCGAGTGGGTTCTCCGCTCAGATGTCTAAAGCTAAATTTGTGTGTGGTTCCACCCCCTCTGGATGTCACTGGGCTTCCCCCAGCCATGCTGGGCTCTTGGAAAAATGAGAAAAGCTCGTTTCATCTTCAGGGCCATCAGCCCAGCCAGGGTTATTGATGGGCCTAATAACAAACAGGGAGCCTGTGCTTCGTGGCCATCCATCACCCTGCCAGGGCCCTGGTGTCCCCCTGGGCAGGGGGAGCCATCCTGGGCCAAGGAAACAAAAGTGCCTCTGGGATTCCAGCAGCAGACAGAAATCCATCAGCCCATCCCAAAGGCCTGGCTGGGGATTGCACCTTGGGATCCTCAGGGCAGCAAAGCCCTGCCTGGGGTCCCTGGCCTGTGGGGGCTGATTTGAGGGTTAATGAGGGTAAATGGCTGCAGTGAAACTCCATCATTCCTTATGGATAACCAGGGGGAAATTGCCAGGTTTGCTTGATCTGAGCACACAGCCACGTTCCTGGAGGGTTTCTGTTGGTCAGGCAGGTTTTGCTGCTGGAAAGGAGGAGGATGGAGGGAAAATAATGTCAATATTCCAGTAGGAGACTAACAGGATGCCTGAATACACTGGCAGGAGGGGAAGAGGCCTGAAAACACCTGTAAAAATTAAATAGCTGGCATAATTGGAAGTCATTAAATCATATTATCAAAATTAAGCAAAGTGGAAGCATCAGAGAAATAACTATTTTAATATCACCTATTTAAAGACTGTTACCAGGTAATTCCAGGCATTAATAATTTGGGCTTTGATCCAGTTGAGTGCTTAGGAGTGGTTTATGTTTGGGTCCCAGATCAGCCTCCCAGGGTGACACCCAGGCTCTGCTGAAGCTGCCCAAGGCCTCTGCAGGTCTCCAGGAGCAGCAGGAGCCTCCTCAGGGTCTGGCAGGGTCACTGGGTGCTGTGACCCTGAGAGCTGGTGCAGGGCACTGGGGGCAGTGGGGATTTGGGGGCTGATGTGCAGGGAACCACCCCATGGAGCTGCTGCTGAACAAAGGGCTCAGAGTCATTGGGTTTGTTTGGCTTTGTTGTATTTCTGATGGAGCTGTCCCGAGCGGAACTGCAGGGAATAAATGAGAATTCTTGGAGAGTCCAGAGGTTGCACCCTGGTTCCACTGGGAAACTTCTGGGCTGAGGCTTCATAGAAGACCCCAGTGCTGCTTCTCCCAACCCTCACTTTCTGCTGGTGTTGCACATGCTCAATTTAAGCTTCTTTCTCCTCTAAATTTATCCCTGTGGAGCAGAGGGGGCTGTGCTGCTGCAGGGACACGCTGCTGCCATAAGAACATGGCTTATTTATTCCCTGTGTAAATAAGGCCCTTGGATCCTCGCCTTCCTCCCTCTGAGATGCAGATGTTGCCAGTCTCTCCATCTACATCCCCATTGGTATTCAGGGGTTGCTGCTGGGGTGGGCACGGAGCTCTCAAAGCCTTGGAGCAATTGAAGTTCTTCAGCAGATACAGCTGGAAGGTTTTGGAGCAACATCTGCAATCTGTCAGGAGGAGAGGCTTTGGTGCTGCTTGTGGGAAGGTCTTGGAGCCCTGGAGGAGCAGCTGGAGGAGCAAGTTGAGATATTGGGAAAAAATTCCTCCCTGTGAGGGTGGGCAGGCCCTGGCACAGGGTGCCCAGAGCAGCTGGGGCTGCCCCTGGATCCCTGTGAGTGCCCAAGGCCAGGCTGGGCAGTGGAAGTGTCCCTGCCCGTGGCATCCTGTGGGGAGCAGAGCCCTTCCCCTGCCCAGCCCCACAAACCCCTGTGATCTCCACCAAGCAGGAAGGTCACGGCTGCTGTAAAAGCAGGAGCCAGGGGCTGAAGCTTTTTCCTGGGCTGCCCCAGGTTGGGTGCTGGAATTGCTCTGAAACCAGCTGCAGGATGGAGAGGCACCCACTTGTGATGGCCGGGGGCTCTGGCACCCCGAGGGGTGCATCCCCAGCACCCCGATTCCCCGCGGGGGAGCCGCGGCACTCCCGGGGATGCTCGGGCGGGCACGGAGCACCCCGCAGCCCTCCGCGGCCCCGCGTTTCGGCTCTCCAAGGTGCTGCCCGGGCTCCCCGGGGCCGGGGCCAAGCCCAGCACCTCGGCTGCGAGCGGGGCCACCAGCCCTGCAAGAGGAAGTGGCCGGGCTGCGGCAGTGCGAGGCGAGGGCAGGAAGGGGAGGCGATGCTGCTGCTGCTGCAGCTGCTGCTGCGCGGGCACCCCCGGCAGCGGCACGGACTGGGAGCGCACTGGGAGCGCACTGGGAGAGAACTGGGAGCGCACTGGGAGCTCTGCCCCTTCCATGCTGGCCCAGCGCCGCTGCGCAGGGAGGCGGGAGCGGGGGGCGAGGCGAGGGAAGGGTTACCCGGCACGGCTGCCTGGCGAGCAGGAATAGCTGGGCAGGATGAGCGGGATGAGCAGCGGGAGCTGCCGCGGGTGAGCGGCGAGCCGGGGCTGTGAGCGCGGGGCTCGATGCTGGCCCGCAGCCCCTCGCCTCTGCCCGGCTCCCATGACCATCGGCAGCAGCATGAGCAGCGGCTACTGCAGCTTGGATGAAGACCTCGAGGATTGCTTTTTCACGGCCAAAACCTCCTTCTTCCGCAGCGCGCAGAGCAAGGTCCCTGCCAAGGTACCGCAAGTCGTGCGCAGGGCCGGGGATGCGGGGCTGCCGCACCTTTGGCTGCGGGGATGCCAAAAAGGAGCTGGGACGGGGGTCAGGGCTCAGCTGCCGGCCAGGAAGGGGTCCTGCCCTCTCCTCTGCGGGGTCTGCACCGCTGAGGGTTTTTCTCAGCCTTTTCCACGCCGGGGTTCCCGGAGGAGCCGGCTCTCGTGTGTGGGTTCAGCGTTAGGTGAAATCTTTTTTTAGGCGGCCACGGGTCAGGCTCAGAATCTGCGCCGTGGGTGAAAATTGCACCTGTGGGGTTGATAGGAAAGTTCA